CATAACTCTGTCCATGTTTATTTTTTTTCCATACTGGGCAGAGTGGTCCCTAACAGTTTGCTGGCTGTGGTTACTATACTTCTCAAGGATTTCTTCTGAGCCTCTGTAGCATTGCCAAACCAACAGATGTTACAAAACGTTAAAATAGCCCCAGTAAAAGCAGAATTAAACATTAAAAGCATTGAGTTATTGACTCTAAATGACCCCAGTTTCTGTCTGAGGTGTGGATCATGACTGTAAGAATGAAATACAGCAGATACGTGCAGCTGAAGTCAGCTTCCTTCATAGGGTGGTCAGGCTCAGCCTTAGTGATGGAGTGAGTTGCTCTGTCATCAAGGAGGAGCTCGGAGGAGAGCCACTGCTCCTCTGCATTGACAGGTGGCAGCTGAGGTTGTTTTGGAGTGAGGGTGTCTAAGTTCTACTGAACAACCCGAGTATGGATAAATAAAAGACAATAGATGGATAGACAGACTGATAGATATATTTAGGCTTGAAATGGATGCTGTGTGTTCTGGACCAAAAAGAAAAGGAGCGTCCAGACTGTTGTCAGCACCAAGTGTAAAGCCAGGCTCTGTGAAGGAACAGGCTTAAATGATTTTGGCAAAGCTCTTCCCTACTTCTGTGATGGCATAGATGATGCAGAAAAGCTAAGCAGAGAATTTAAATTAATCTTTACACTGATGACCATGCATGTTTTAGTACATCAATGTAACCCAACATTCTGCGTACACGACAAAAGAATGGCTAAATGGAGAACTTTTTCCCTGCCCTGACCTATTCGACAGGATTCGACAGGATTGTGCACATTAAGGCATAAATGTAGGGGAAAGGGACAGACATTGACTTGAATTGTCCATCACTGAGCACCCTCAGTGCCATCACGTCTTGTAATTGTTGTCAGAGGAAATGACATTGAAACAAAGTAGCTGAACAGTGCTTTTACAGAACTGCTCATTTGTTTCTGTTCTGTCTAATAATTATGATAAATCTACTTTAATTTTGAAATAACATGATAACTACATTGCAACTAAATTGGCACATGAATTACATAGCATTATATAAGCATGCTTTAAACCTTCATTGTTCCTTTTCAACTAAAAAAAAATGTTGAAAATGAGCATGGCCCCATAACAATAGCAACCTATGAGGATAGTGTGTTCTCAGCTAGTTGTTTATCTCGTCTGGAGTCTGAGAAGTCTGGTAATAATAGGCAAACAGGAAGAGAAGCATCATAAATGTAGAGATCAAATACACACATACACACACACAGTTGGCTGGAACTCCAGTCCCATGGCTCTCACCCCAGCAGTGAGCTCATTAAAATGTGCAAGACGACGCCTCTCGTCCTCATGCTTTCTTATCTCCACTTCAACTCTTCCTCTCCCATTTCTTTCCCACATCACCCTTTTCTTTTGATACAAAATATCACACACTCACTCACTCGTCATGTCAGCATCCAGGTCTCCCTACTGATCTGGAATCAGAACAGATCAAATTCTGAGTGAACACGGATCAGAATGCTGCCTGAGCTGTGCAGCTGATTGGCATGCAGGGTGAATACTTGTGTATTCTAAGTATGTTTGTGTGTATGAGGGAGTTTTCAGGGGAGGGTAGTTTGGTTTAAGGAATGGTTGCCGGGTGGAAGAGGAGGAAGGAGGGAAGAATTTGTTAAATGTGAATGGAAGGCTTCTTTCTGGATGTGAGCGAGACACAGTTTAACTGCTACGTGTGTGTGTGTGTGTCTGTGGTTGGTTGGTTATATGGTAGCTTCACTGAGAATACATCCTGTGGTTGCTTTAATTAAAAGGCTGCTCATTTAAATCTGCAGACCAGCTTGTGAGGACCTTAATGAGCAATACAGATGATTTTTGGGGTGCTTTTGAGCAAGGCGTTTAACAGTTATTGGGCCAGGCGGGTGACTCTGGTTCAAATTAGATGAGAAAACCCTTATATCTTAAAGAAAACAACTACATTTACAAAGGAATTCCTAAATTACACATAACCAAATGTTATTCCACGCTACAAGTGTAATTTATTTATTTTTTCCGGCTGCCCCTTCTTCAGGGGTCGCCACAGAGAATTAACTCGCACGAAGATTTGGCAATTGTTTTTACACCGGATGTCCTTCCTGACACAACCACAGACCACCGAGCTACTACAGCCCTCTGTGTGGAGCAGAGAGCTGCTATCTAGGGCACCCGGGGGAGCAGATGGTGGGGGTTAAGGGCCTTGCTCAAGGGCCCAGAGTGGGGCAAATGAGGGTGGAGTCTGGTGAGAGTGTTTCAACTTTCCCACCCACATTTTGATGTTTCTGGTATGGGGAGTCGTACTATCGACCTCTCGATCACAGGCCCACCTTCTCTAACCTCTGCGCCACCACTCCCCTAATACAAAAATACACAGTAAACAAATATAAATACACGTGTAAATAACTAATTTAAATCATTAGCATCGGAACTGGCACTATTCAGTTTATTTCTGATCAATTAAACCTTTTTTTTTTTTAAACTAATTTACCAATAACTGTTGCAAAAGTGTGTGTGTGTGTGTGTGTGTGTATGCATTGCAGTCAAACACAGCATCAAAATGTGTGCATTCATTAGTGAAAGCAGAAAGTACAGAATCCAACCATAACTGGCAGAGCCAAACCCTTCTATTATGGTTATTTAATTAATTTTTATAACCTTAATGTTGTGTTTTTATATAGTATTTTTATTATTCTTCTGCTTTGTTTATTGAAACCACAGCTTACGTCAAGTTTTTAAAATGTTTTATTTTTTTTGTCTGAGACAATCTGCAGCTGTAGTTTGAATAAAAAAGGTTAACTCAGCTTAAACATTTACTTTTACCATGCTTGAGTGCAGCTAAGGTTCATCACACATCTTATTCTTATTCTTATGTAAACGGTAAAACTGTACATGAAGTGAAAGCATCTGTTGATAAATTTGTCAATTTAAAAAAAAATAGCATTCTTTGACATAATTACATTTTGTCCACTGCGTTGAATGCCAAGTTCATAAAAAAGAAAAAAAAAGTGCTATCTTTTTACATTCAAAGTTTGTATTAGGAATGACTCTCAGCTACTTCTACATCAAATTTTAGTTTAGTGTCTAAAAAAACTGACTGGGTTGTGGTCATTTTTTTGTCTGCAACCATCATTTAGTTTTGGCAGTCATCTTGCATCAAGTTCAAATTCAAGAATCTTTATTATTCCCGAGGGGCAATTAGTTTCACAGTCAGTAGTCACACAAAACATCTGTACTAGACAAAACATTGAGACATTAAAATAACAGAAATCATCATTGTTCATTAAGAAGCCTGATCGCTACAGGGATGAATGAGTTTTTCAGTCTGTTCGTCCTACATCTTGGCAGCAGATACCTGCGTCCAGATGGAAGTAACCTGAACTCACCATGGAGTGGGTGATCAGGATCTGCCAGAATCAGTCTGACCTTGTTCACTGACCTTGCCTTGTATTGGTCAGGAGGTTCTGTAGGACTATGTCAGCAGCAGCTGTACATAAAGATAGACTGATAATCAGCTAACCAATTTAGTCAGCTAATTAGAAACTTTTAAGGAATCGACAATTGGTCATGACTGTGTATAATTATTCATTTACCAGGTAGGAAAATAAAAAGCCTACTGTCATGATTTACATCATCATTATCGTCATTGTTATTATTGTTGTTGTTGTTATTATCATCATCATTATTATTGTTGTTGTTGTTGTTGTTGTTGTTATTATAATATGATCATTATTATTGTTGTTGTTATTATCATCATCATCATTATTATTATTATTATTATTATTATTATTATTATTATTATTATTATTATTATATTATTGTTGTTGTTGTTGTTGTTGTTGTTGTTGTTGTTGTCCAGCCATTATTTTACCCACTTCATCCTTTTTAGGTCATGGGGGTCACTGGTACCCATGTCCAGCAGTCACTGTGTGAGAGACAGGGGACACTGGACAGGTCTCCAGTCCATCACAGGGACACATAGAGACAAACAACCATTCACTCTCTCACTCACACCTAAGGACAATTTAGAGTTACCAATCAGTCTAACATGCATGTTTTTGGTCTGTGGGAGGAAACTGGAGTACATGGAGAAAACCTACGCATGCATAGAGAGAACACACAAACTGTAGGAAGGCCCCTGACTGGGATTTGAACCGCGGCGACCTGCTCACCGTGAGGCGGCAGCTCTAACAACTGCGCCACCATGCTGCCCTGTTGTAATAGTTATTATTATTATTATTATTATTATTATTCAGTATGAATAAAATAAGAATCCAGCACAAAATATTTTGAAATAATATCCATCTTCCCTTCACCTTCCTTGCTGGAGAGGGAAAGCGAAAGTTGAAGAAATAAGAAAATCTAATTTAGCTGTTGTTTATTACATTTTTTCCCCTCTGTTTGTTTCAGTTACAGTATTTTCCTGGCTCTGTGTAGAGTTTTGGCCTTTCAGCTGCTCGTAAGTCTTTACGGCTTTAAAACGTAGCTGCAGTCACCATTTTCATGCCAACTGTCCACCTTTATAGTGGCAGCAGCAGCAGCTTGGAGCACCTTGTTTGGAAGTCAGAGCTATCTACCATCAATTAAACTGATGTAAACTTTCAGGTCAGCTTTTTCCACGTGGGCCTATTGTCTTAAAATAGACGGGTGTTTACAGCAGCAGGTTAGCTGCACAAGAAACTGGGTCTCTGGGTGCAAACGCTCACTCACGAGACACTGCTTTATTTGGGAGTCACTGTAGTCCCTCCAAGAGGCAGATCACTTTCTTGTGTAAATACTGGCAGAGAGCAAACAAAAACACAAGATGTGTAGTTCCTCGTCTGTTTGAAAGCTACCACGTTTTTACTAGCCTCACACAGCACGCTAACAGCTTCATGAAGTCACTTCCATGGAACAAAAAATACCTTGTGGGAAATGAGCAGTGAGCGTTTATGAGTGTGTGTGTGTCTGATCCTCACTGTGTTTTCTTTCCAGGGGCAACCAGAGATATTGGTTCAGCTCTTACCAGGATGTGTATGAGACATCGCAGCATCGAGGCCAAACTCCGACAGTTCACTAAGTAAGACTGAGTCATTCCTCCTTCTTGCTCTTCTCTCAGTCTTTTCTTTCTGTGTTCTTCAGGTGTGTTATAAAGTCAAAAGCTATCTATGTTCATCTATAGTTGACATTGTTGCAGGGCTATGTTAAGACAAAGTGCTGTTGTCTGCTGAATGGATCCCATTAGTTACATTCCTCACCCAGTTTATATTTAAATGATTGTAACTGAATACAGCTGCTGGTATGCAGTGAAGACCACTCAGGAAACCTCACCAGGAGTCTGTTTTTAACCATCATCTTCCTCTGTCTTCGTTCTCCATACTCCCTAATGGCTTTTCCACAACAGAAACACCGTTTTGTTGATGATGATTATGTCTAGTTGTGGTTATGCTGTGTTTGTACAGACCAAATCACTCTGAAAATGTTGGTGTGCACATGGTGCAGTAATCCTGTGCACTGAATGTATTAAAATGTGTATCTATGTGTGGTAAGAGAAGAGAGTGATGATGAATGGGAGCAGATTGTGGAAAACAAAACAGGTTGAGCTCATTTCTGCAACATACTGTATCTAAGTGGGTTCATTTCCATTAGGACTGGAAATATTTCAGTGTATACTTTCTCTCTGTATTTGTTAAAGACAAAGTATTGGATGAGCGTAACGGAAGTATCTCCTTCTCTCTTTGTCTCTCTGCAGTGCTTTGATGGAGAGTCTGATCACTCCTCTCCAGGACAAGATCGAAGACTGGAAAAAGACAGCCAACCAGCTGGATAAGGATCATGCCAAAGGTACACAAGCATCACTGGTCAGCGGGCTAATTCATGGAACTATAATGGTACAATAATGCAGTCACGCAACCTCCCAGTTGAAGGAGTTTTCTTGCTGGTAATAGATCCGAGCAGCCTTGTCAGGTGATACCTGGACATCAACAGCACTATGATGTAAAAAAGACACAACATAGCCAGATTGTTGATGGTCTCTGCAGGGTCTTGTTGAAGATTTTAAGAAAGGTATAAGAAAGCAGATGGCTCAACGTTATAGGTAGGAGAGCATAAAAGGTCCATGATGGTCTTGAGTCTGCACAAACTTTTTAAGCAACGTCATGATGGTTTGTCATGGTGGAGGCAGGGTATTGGAGTCCTGGTTGGAGTACACATGATGGCAGAGTATCATGTATGGCATGGTTTTTCCAATTTGAATCAGGACTGGCCTTGGTAATTTTACTGGGGGTGCATGCCATATCACATTAACACTGCCTTATTTGAGACGGCTCACAAAATTTTTGCTATTGAATGTGACACGACTGCATTTCAGACATGTGCACAAACACCCTGAGTGGGTCCTGAATTAAAGGGAAATGCTTTGTGTTGACATATTTCACTTAATTTATCAGGTTTCAAATAAATAGCATCAAACCTGTAAAAAGTCAAACAACACTTTTTTTTAATTCAACCTTTATTTAGACAGGTTAATCCCATTGAGCCTCGAGGACTCATTTACAAGAGAGACCTGCTTTCAACAAAGAGTGATGACAACAATTTTAATTTTAGGACAACCTAGAAAACATCATACATATTTCAGATAAGTTAGAAGAGTATACAACTGACAAGATGTATTGATCTGAGACCCACAATAACTTCTAGCGTTGTCCTTCCAGATAGTGTAAAGTTCACATCGGTGACCCCCCGGTTTAGCAGGGAAATGTGATTTCACCCAGAGACCTTCCTTTATTCTTTGAAAACGTCTCTGTTTATCTTGTTTCAAGAGTACAAGAGGTCACGCCATGAGATCAAGAAGAAGTCATCTGACACCATGAAACTGCAGAAGAAAGCTCGTAAAGGTAACAGTCAGCTGTTTGATACTCAAGACCCTTTTTAGACATTTAAGTCAAATCTGCTTTGTGTGTGTGTGTTTGGGGGGTGGGGATACTTTTGATTTGGAGCTACAGATACATTTGTAAACTTTGTTCATTTGTGTGTTTTTTTTTTGTTATGCACCAATGATCTGAGGTTGAAGGAGATTTGAATGTGGTGATCAATTAAAAAGTCAGACCTGGATCATGTTTATAATTAGATTAGGATCTAATAAAAAACACAACCAACAACCAGAGCTCAGGCACAGAGTGATGGATAAAACGAACAGTGAGGTTACATCGCCATCAAGTGGCAGCCAGAAATATTGCAGCTCTCTTTTTACTCGTTCTGAATCTTTGGAGCAGCCAATTAAAGCAGCTTGAATCAAGAACAGCTTCCAGTCAGCTGCCGGGCAGATGTTTGAAAATAAAAGTGTATGAATATTCACATCAAATATGTATTAGGCCTGCACATGTTCTAAAAATGCTGTACACACGATTTGATGTGATGGAGCGAGATATATCTTAAATTCTTTTTTTGTTGTTTTGCTTTGTTTTGTTTTGTTGAATGTCCAGAGGACCAGATTTAACTTTTTTAGATATATCTTAAATATTGTAACAGTCACAGTTGGAAACTTTTAAAATGTCTAAACAGAATATCAAGGAAAATAAAGTCTTATGCAAGATCTTTAGAATTAAATTTACTTTGTTTACTGTGATTTGTTGCATTGCATGTGTTTGTTTTTAGATCTGGATGAATCCAACAATGTTCAGTCAGGTCATCTGGACGGTTTCTTTTATTGTTGAGACGTTTCATCCAAAGGACTTCATCAGTCCGAGGAGCCACAACAAACTCTGTCCCACAAGCAGCACACTCACATAGTGGGCCAACCAGTTTGCTGGTAATAATATGGTTTCTGGGGCCCAATGACAAGACATATGCAGAAAATAAATTTTAGCGATGACTGAGAGGAACGTAACGCAAATGAATGAACAGACCTACACATCGCACACTGGATGGATGATTCCGCCCTGTCACGTGTGGAGCTTCGTGATGTTGCTATTTCTCGGTTGGCTTTTTTTTGGCTGCTTCTGTTATTTTGCCCTTACCTCCAGCACTGTGGCTGTCTTGTGATGGCTTCCTTGTACTAACCTTAACAATGTGTTCTGCTGTTTTATGCTCACCCTCTTCTTCTCTGTCTCCCTTGTCTTTTTGTTTTCTCCTGTTTGCCTACTGTTTTTGCTGTCTCCTGCTCTCGCCTGCCACCGTCTCTTTGTTTCTCCTCCCCCGTGGCATTTGTCTGCCTTTAACAGAGATGCAGGGTAAGTAGTGGTCGATTGCTCTGCTCCCCTTGTCCCTACTTCCTACTCACATAATTTGTTAGGAGACGTTGGGCTACATGTTGAAGATATATATAAGGAAAACAATCTGTTGCTTTAAGGTTTATTACTGGACCCAACTTTTAGTGGATAAATTGTTCTGGAATGCAGCAAATTATTTATTATACACATTTATCATCACATTCTGCTCAAGATTTATATTTTTATTAAACATTTATTTAACCAGATAAAATAAAAAAAAACATTGAGATTAAGACCTCTTTCACCAAGGTGACCTGGCCCAGAAAAGGCAGCGGCGCACGTCATAAAAACAAGACAAGTACCAAGAAACAGAATAGGACTTAGAAATTTATATAAAAACATGCAATATAACAGTAAAGGGCATTTTTTATAATAAAAATAATTTAAAACAATGGCAATTTAAGATCTGAAACACAGGCACTGTTGACAAGATTGCCGTTATTTTAAAAGTTTCCAAACAGCACTCAAAGTAACAAGTTCTGACAGTTTTAATTCAGCTTGCAAGCTGAGGGGGCAGAAAAGCTAAAAGCTTTCTTACCCTTTTCAGTTCACACACGAGGAATATAAAGATGCTGACAGTCCTTAGAGCGTAAGGCATAACTACTGTCCATTCTTCAAATAAAAGTACATAAATAATGCAGAAGCAGGCCAGTAAGAGACTTGTACACCAAAGTCATCCAATGTGCATATACATATACTATATGTATGTATATCCATGCTATACAGGGAAGACACGCTGGTTTTAAGATGGAGATCACAGTGATGAGTATGATAGCAACCACCAGCGATAAAGCTTAATGCACAAAGGTACGCTGGATTCAAAGACTGTAGACAACTGTTTGAAACACACTTAGAGAACATTGCCATAGTCAAGTACTGGCAACAACAAAAAAAGAAGCATTTAAGCTGGATTGTGTTTACCTAATAAACAACATGTCTCAATGTTGCTGGAAATTATTTGACCCTGTTTGCCAGAAAACATATGCGGCCTAACAACCCAGATTTCATTTTAATTCTTCTCATCTGTGTCTTCAGATGTGTTCAAATATAGAAAATATATTTTCTAGGCAACACTGTTCAATTTCAGATACAACTTCAAGGCTCAAGTTTCTTTATTTTCATTTGCATCACATGTGGTACATGAGGTGAAAGAAATTGTGTACCCAAGGTCCCAGTTATACACAAAAATAGCAACAACAAAAAAATACAATATATAAAGAATATAAATTTACCGTATTATATATATTTTAATTCTGTTGACATCCAAAAGTCACACTTTGCTTGACTTTTTATTAACTAATTTGTCAAAGACTCAGTGGTTAGCACTGTTGCCTCACAGCAAGAAGGTCCTGGGTTCAATCCCCGGTTTGGACCTGGGGCCTTTCTGTGTAAAGTTTTCATGTGGCGTGGGTTTTCTCTTCCACAGACCAAAAACATGCATGTTTAGGCTTTCTTCAGGCCTAGGCCTCCCTTGCAAAAGAGATCTGTGATCCCAACTGGATTTGCCTGTTAAATAAATGTTACTAAAAATATATATATATCTTTGACTATACCTATGGATCCATTTTTTACATGTCCTGTTTGCGTCAGTGAATAGATGAAAATTCTTCAGTGTGTCTTGTAATTTGTTTACAATATCAAAAAAAGGTCTGACTGCAAAACTTTATTTGTTTCATGACTTCCATCAGGAGGTCACAGAGTTGGTTTTAAACGTTTTTTTCTGTCTTGCCTTAACTGAGACAACGTTGTTGTGATTTGGCGCTATATAAATAAATTGAATTGAATCAAAATATTTTCAGTTGTTTGAGATATTTTGCTAACAGACAATTAAGCACACTTGCTCTTTCGCTCTCCGTTGCAGCAGACGATTAGCAGATGGCAAACAGCTTCTGTGTTTGGGCTCATTTGTTAAACAAATGTAACCACTGTATTATATGTTATACATTGTTGTTCACTGGAGTTGTTCTTCTTTCACTGACGTCCGTACTGTCACCTTAGCAAAAAATACCAGTTTTATGATGAGTTCTTTATTTTTGAAAAACATCACTGCAACACAAAAGCCTTTGTGCTTCATCAAAGGTCGTATCTCCTGATGACAGATCAGAGATCAGCCTTTACAGGAACTTTAGTTTCACTTGTGCTGATGCATGATGTAACTTAACTTCCTCCTTGACTCCTGCATGACTTTTTTCAGTTTCTGTTATTAGCTTTGTAGTGTCACTGCAGGCTGTCTGCTGTCATGCTACCACTCCTCTCTGCCCTCTTTCATTCTGTCTCGTATAGAACCGACAGCTTGGCTGATTTTTCTTGCATGCTGCAACACTACAAAGATTTATTTCATGTCTGCTTTCTATTGATTGCATTTCACATTTTTCCCCATGTAGCTTGCAGATAACATTCAGATTTTATACACATTCCTGTGTACAGGTTTCACTCCTTTTGTCAGAGCTGTGAAATCAGAACTTATTATTTTCTTAAGTAATGGTGAAGCAATAAAGGGGAATGATATGGCGACAATTAATATTACCTTCATAATAGTAGCATGTATGTAAACGTTAGCCTTAGAGCACAGAGAAGCAACAGCTTTGGGTTTAATGCCATTCACTTGTGTAAATCCCTGCTCCTTTATGCACATCTTTTCCTCATTTTACTTCTCAATTGCTCACTTGCCTCTGGTGAAAACCTTTGCTTGTCTTAACCAATGCTGTCTCCTTTCTGAAACCTTTCCCTTATGCCCTTGGGTCTCCAGGGCGAGGGGACCTGCAGCCCCAGCTCGACAGTGCCATGCAGGATGTGACCGACATGTGCCTGTTGATGGAGGAGATGGAGAAGCAGGCGGTGCGCCGCGCCCTGGTGGAGGAGAGGGGACGCTTTTGCACCTTCATTGGCTTCCTTCAGCCTGTTGTGGTGAGATGAAAACACAGGCAATGTGCTCCGTCAAAAAGCTTCTATTCAAACAGTTTCAGTGAGATGGATGTGTTAATCGCAATTAAAACAGATATCAAAGAACATTTGTTTTGTGTGATCGTACATTAAAATTTTGTAAAGGTAATGAGAAACACCATTAACAGTAACAGACATGAAATTCAGCTTTTCTTACCAACTTATGTTAACTGTGACCAAAATATGGGAAATCTACTCCATCGTGGGCCAAACTAAATCTTTGCATTTAGGAGGAATCAGACAAAATCCTGTTTTTCAATGGAACAGTTACAGTACACTATGCAAACTGTGTGTGTGTGAATATATATATATATATATATATACAGAAATAGCTATATATACAGTAGGCACTCACTACTTCGCGGTTCATGAAAAATAAGTAATTCAAGAGCAGACCAAGGACAAAACATGCTGCTTTCTGTTATCAATCACTGTAATCTGAACTTTTTTTGCATCACTGCCAAGAAAATCATTTTTGATAAACAGTTTGACTCATGAAACCTCAAGTAAACAAATACAGCAGTCCCTCGCTACTTTGTAGTTCGGTTTTCACGGACTCGCTACATCGTGGGTTTTCAAAATAAGATTGGACACAACACACAACTGGCTGATGGATGGATGAGCCGCACTATCGGCATGAAATTTTTATTTAAAATAAATTATTTTAAATTATTTAGCACCTGCTGCACATTTGTGCATCCCTTACTGCAGGATTAACTTCCTGCTGCAGCTGATCAGCTGTTCACCGTGCAGAGCAGAGATGTGGGCGTGGCCAAGAGCGCTTGCAGGTGGCTGAGAGCAGAGGAGGCAGGGAGCTGAAATCATGACATTCTGTGCTCTTTTAGAGCGTTTAGAGTTTAGAAACATTGTTTAGAATATTGCAAGATTGTGGGACGGGTTTAAAACACCTTAAAATATAAATACTAAAATAAACTACTACTTACTACTTGTACTAATATTTCTACTTCGTAGTTTTTCACTTATTGTGGGGCTTCAGGGTACGGATCCACATACACGAGAGAGGAAGAGAGAAAGAAAGAGATATTCTGTGTTAACTTTGCTAACATTTTCAACTTTCTGTAATTTAGGTATGCAACAAAATAAAATATAAAGTGAAGCTACAATCAGATCAACTTTGGATGTTTAGGGAATGAAAAGGTCCTATACATATACAATTGTTCTATTAGTTTGACTACTGTGATAGGCTCAAGTTCTGCCTTCTCATGGATGGATGGATTAAAACAATCAAAAGTAGGTACGGAGAAACATGTAGCTTCTAGTTTATTTTTCATACCCTCCATACTTGTAATAAATACTGCAAAGACACAAGCTAAGGTGTCTTGACCTATTCTCATCATAGTGTAGCGCACAAAGTCTGTATACCAATAAATGATACCAGCTTCTGTTATGACATTATTTCTGGAAATGCCAATATTCAAACATGCTTTATTGTTATTATTATTATTATTATTATTATTATTATTATTATTATTATTATTTTGTTGTGAGATTTAGTCTCTGACTAAAGCATCCGTGACTTAACATGAAACTTCTTGTTTACGTCCTGTTTGTCAGAATGGAGAGATCGCCATGCTGGGTGAGATCACCCACCTGCAGGCCATCATCGATGACCTCACTGTGCTGACAACAGATCCTCACAAACTGCCCCCTGCCAGTGAACAGGTGAGGAACACTCATCCCCCCCACACAACCTTCAAAACACCTCAAAGGTTACAGAAGATTAATAAACCATGTCTGTGTTTCTCTCAGGTGATTAAAGACCTGAAGGGGTCAGATTACAGCTGGTCTTATCAGACCCCTCCTTCATCCCCAAGTAGCTCTGGTTCACGAAAGAGCAGCATGTGCAGGTACAACACTGTGGGCCGGAGCAGCGCCCCTCACCCGCACCCCACCGCACCCCCCACAACACCCACACCAG